TTAAAAAAGTTATATTGACTTAATTTTTATTTGTCTTAATGTTCTTTATTGAGTGTGATGCACTTTATTGAGTATCCTATCATCATGATCATAATAAAGTGCCAAATTACTCAATAGTTGTATAAGCTATGTATAATTATATGCGAATGTGTTTGTATGTAATTTTGTATGTGCGTAATTTTTACATAAAATATATAAATAAATATTTATATATTTTAAAATTTTTATTACTTATGACTACTTTTTCTTTTTCAATAATCTCACAGAGCCTAGAGCAAATCATTTGGAAAAGATCTTTGTTTTGTCAGTTACAATTTTTATGTTGAGAGAGAAAATATAATTCCTTTAAGATTAAATTTTTCCATTCAATCTCCACTTTGGAGAACTAAAACTTTGTTGCTTACTCAGTCTGGAAGCATATACGATTTATTGTAATATTATTTGTAACGCCATTGCTTTTTTCGTTTATTATCTTCTTCCGACCATTATTTTTTTTCTGTCTGTAAGGTCATTATATTTTTACAATAATACTAATGATTACTTTTATTGTTAATTTTATTTTTATTAGATATAATATTGGATATTTTGATATTAATTGTTCATTTATATCGATTCTCAGATAATTTGTAACGCCTTGTAACGCCTAAGGGCTCAAATTGTTGTGTTCCGTTGCACGCATAAATCCGAATCTATTGTACAATAGATGTTTTAAGTCTTAAGCCTTAAGAAATTGACCAACAGTCGAATACGAAAGGAAAATTAATTGTGATTTGTTCCCTTATGGCTTAAGGCTTAAAAATCTGTTATAGATCCGAGATAATGTGCACGAGATATTCTATCCTTATTGTTCGCAGAATGTTAAACAAGGATAAATGATACCTCATGCGTATTATGCCTATTACACATTAGATGTAATGAGCGATGAGAGACGAGCAATATCCAACAAGTTCTGCTTCTTCTCATATGACGATGCAAAACACTCTTATTGGATATCGTTCGTCGCTCATAGATCATCGCATCCAATGTGCAGTAATGTTCAAAAAGATCGATACGAATATCAATTCAGTATCGATGTAGTTCTGATATAAGTACGTATATCAATTCGCTTTTCGAGATCGTTTGGAGTATCGATATTGCTTAAAAGATGATGTATCTCATTTTCTTTTACATAAGCACATATTACATCTTTTATCTTCCTTAAAATAAACATATGTGGGATCTACAATAGAAGTCATAGCGATCGTAGAGTTTTAAGTCATAGAAAATTGACCAATCATAGTCGATTATTCTTCTTATATCACTTTGATCAAAAAGTTCCCGGAATTATCACCAGGCGATGCTCTGAGTCTGCTGATTTGAGTTCTGTTTTTTTGGTTAGGTTGCCATCTATCATTGACATTCCCACCAAATTTTATTACCATAGTTTGACATTTGTAAAAGTTACGCCGTCTTGAGTACATCTACCTCTGCACGTATTTTCGATTTTTTACAGTTTTAAAAATGGAGTCGAATTTGCAACAACGAGTGAATTTTTGACCAAGAACGAAACGAATACTATCCAACAGCCACCTTATATGGCTCCCTGCGATTTTTTTCTATTCGAGTCAAAAAACCATTACGGGGAACGCGTTTTAACAGCCGAAAGAAGGTAATGGAAAGATTGAAGACGGCTCTGACTGTACCGACAATAGAGTTCCAGAAATGTTTCGAGAGCCGGATCAAGCACTGGCATAAGTGCGTTGCAGTCAATGGGAAGTACTACTTTGAAGGGGACAATATCACTTTTGATGAATAAAACTGTATTTTGAATTTTCTGAATTCCGGGAACTTTTTGATCAAGGTAGTATTCGAATGTGAGTGGTTAGTTTTCTACGACTTAAGGGAATTCTAAAGTGATTCTGTTTTATCAATTTTTCCAAACAAGCATTTTTCTAACCTTTACAGATTAAAAAATTCTTCTTTATAATTAATATATAAACGTAATATATAATGTAGTCCAAATCGGTCGATTTTATGCCAAAAATGAAAAAAAGTTTGAAAATTATTAGTTTTGTTACCGACTTTTAACGTCGACTCGTAATAATGTTTGCTTTATACAAGTTTTATATTTTATATATTGCATAAAACAATCTTGGACTAGAGATTATATGAATGTTGAGTACTTAGAATTAGGTTTAGATACTTAATACAAATGATTAGTTAGAAAAAAGTTTGTACGTATATGCGATATTGATATAGTACACATATAAAGATATATCGATGTATCGTATTTTATCGGTAAAATAGCGATTTCATCAGAGTTCGCATTTCCCTTAAGACTCAACAACTGTTATGACTTTTATTGTAGGTAAATCCCGCAATATATTTTATGTTATTTACATAAAGACTGATAGATAATAAAAACTAGTAAAACAGTTCTAAAATATTATCTGTTTCCTTCTTATGATATTATTAGATAAGCAGATTAACTGATTTCTATTTGTTTTTAAGTTTTATTTAAAAATCTTTTTATTTTTGTAATTGAGAGTGTGAACAAGTTGCTGCTACGAATGCTTCGAAGCATTTTTTGATTGGTCAATTAGTAAAATTCTTTCTTCCAATTGGTTAATCAAATGCTTCGAAGTATTCGTAGTAATTCAACTATATCTTTAATGATATTAAAAGGTAAAACTGTCCACACAGAAATATGTATCTTGTGATAGAAATAAATATATAATACATTTTTTAATGTGAATCATTGTAAGGGAATTGTAAATAAAATCAAAAGCTTTGCGAAGGTATCGATACACAGACCGATTCGGTATCGATATCTTTTTGTATCGATACTAGATATTAGATATTTTTCGAAAACTATTATGCAGTAGACATTAGACCAGTATTCACATCGATCTTGCTGGCAATTGTGACGAAGACTCAAGAAGGTACAGATATTGACGCCACGTGTCGAGTGAAAAACCTAGAATAAAAGTGAGTGATGCTAATAATTTATATATTTATATGTTTATTACCCTTTCTATGTTTAGTACCCTCCTTGGCGGAAAATTTTTTATGAAAAACTACATAGATTGAGACAATATCTTAGAAATTCGTAGGTTTTTTTGATACGTAGAGTGGTGTTGTTTGAAAAACCAAGATATTCTTCGCTCTCAAACAACTCCTCATTCTACGAATATCTACGAAAAATTAAGAATTTTTAAGCTCTTATCTCAATGTAGTTTTTCTATATTTTTTCGTAAAAGCTTTTTTTTCAATCAGGATAAATATATTTATCATATTGACTTTAGAATGGAAAATAAGAACCAGGAAATTGAGAAGTCGCATGATACGATAATATTGATTCTAAAAGAGAATCGATTTGAAGTTGAAAAGCAAAAATTAATCAGCAAGAGTCAGTACTTTGCTGCTCTTTTGTCCGAAAATTATTTAGATTATCGTCAAACGGAATATATTATTAAATATGACAATATTCTCCCAATTTCATTTCGAGTAAGTTGATTTCAACAGAAATAATTTCTGTTATTATTTATATGTTTAAAAATAAAATAGATATAGAAGAACATTTTGAACAAAGGTTATATCCCAGTAAAAAAATTTTACACGTGGTCATGTATTATATAAATATATATAATTATGTATAACTTATATATGGTTATATCTGATTATACATAATTTCATAAATGGTTATATATGATTATAAATATAAATGGCGAAATCAATTAGAAAAGAGAACGCTATTCGCTCCATTGATTCTCTTTGACGTCAACTATAGCTAATTGTCCCCACTACACCTCATCCCCTAACGCCATAACGCTGTCGCTCCGTCGCTCACTACAGATTTTGGTGAGTGGCAATGGGGAAAATCATGAAGAATGCGCTACGATCGACTTGAATTGGTATGTCGATCGATAATCTTCGAAGAAAAAAATGATAATGGAGTCGACATCGAATCGATGTCGATCGACGTCGAATAGATGGATCAATTTTATTATCATTTTTCACTGTGTCTGGATATTATATATAATTAAGATTTTATATCTGATCAAATATTATATGAAATATGATATATAGAATTTAGAATTTTAATTAGGGTAGATAGTCCAATGAATAGTAGATTTTTACAATATTTACAATATTTGTTGTATGGTTAATAATATATAAAAGTTTGTTTAATATTAATGTTATTTTATAGATATAGTAAAATTATAATGAAATTTTATCAGTTATTTAAAAGTGCAATGAGGATAGAGTAATGTAGAATTGATAAGAGAATAAAAATTTTAATTTTACGCAATAAAAGAAAATCGCAATAAGAAATTTAAAAAATCATTGGTTACACTAGAAAAATAGTGGAAAATGCATTAAAACTAAAATATAATGAAGATTTCTCGAGATTCTAAGGGAAAAACTATAACTTAAATTGATTGTCAAATTGTATATGTTTCTCTAATAAAACCAAGACACATGAAAATAGAATGCAAAAGATATTAGAGACCAGACTATCGAACCGAACATCGAATTGCGAGCCTGCGTCCACATTCAAAGATCCTACATTCCTTATCCATATTATCGAAATGAATATAGATTCACATCAAATCTGAATGTTGACGAAGGTCAGCTCGCGGTTCGATGTTCATCTCGATAATCTAGACACACCCTTAGAGCGCAATAAAATTATACGATATAATTTTAGTACTTAGACTTTATACATATTGTTCGAACATTTCGACTCTTTTTGGAGTTATCATCAATGATATAACATTCTTCTAAAGGTATGATCCTTTTTTCCAATCCTTCTTTCCAATATAGACAGCCATTAACGAATTCAAACTTAAGTGCATGAATTTTGTTATAAATATGATGTTGTAAATATGATAAGTAAGAAATTCTAAAATTGAGACATGCATTATACCAGATTCTTATTTGTATATTTAAATTAATAATTGGAGAATGATTTACTAAAGGAAGAGAAGTGTGTTTTAGTCCTTCAGCTGCGCCTGACCCCTTTTAGGAGTCTGTAAGAGGTTGGAGATAACTTTAAAACGCATCTAAAGAGAATTGTCGGGTCTCGTACATTTTCTCGGAACGAATTTGCGACATTTCTTGTCAAATAGAAGCGTTTCTTAATTCATGTCTTATTGTGCTTAATGATGACCTAATTAGTGATTTGTTCGTGCTCATTTTGGGCTATTTTTTGATAAGTTGCGATCACTCGTAGCTGTCCCGGAAGAATTCGTGTACAATCGATTCGAATAAACTTTCGCGATCTAATCTTGCTGTCAGTGCTCGTGAAAAGTTTACTGTTTACCATTTTTAGAATTCGTCATATATGTAAATTCTGAAATATTCTAGGGTTCCTAAAATTCTTCATTTCATAATCTAAGAAGACATATAAAATTTAAAAAAGTTTATCTTATATTTTTTCAGAAATTGTAAAATGAGAATTTTTTAAATATTTCAAAATTTTGTATATATATGAAAACTTCTAAGAGAAAATAAAAAAAGTTTTTTACAAAGGAAATTATTACAGGGAAAATACATATAGTTTTGACGATATTCGCTCCCAAAGAAAAAAAATTTTCCAAGAAAGTTTTATTCTTAACAACCATAATTTTCAAGATAATAGTAAAAATTAATTGAGCTCTTCATATTAAAAATAATATTACAAAAACTAGGCAACTAAGAGTTAATATAGTTATTGTTCTTGTGTGTACGTTAACAAATTTTCTTTATTCATCCACTATACATACATTTTCATCTAGTGTATGTAAAATAGAAGAATAAAGAAGATTTGTTAACATATGATCTCATCTGTGTATTAGCTCTTAGTTTCCTAGTTTTTTCGTAAAATTATATTTAGAACAAAAAATAGTTCTGTGAACTACTCACACAATGCTTCAAAATTTTCTGCATTTTCAAAAATATCTTAATTAGTATAAAAATTTTGAGAAAAATAAATAAGAGATATATATCCCTTCAGTCAACTTTGGAAATGTTTTTCTATATTTTTTATATTTTTCGAGATATTATTGTATATTATGCATGTATACAGAAATTACATAATCGTATGTATAGATCTGATTGTATAATCGCAATTTAAAAACAATTATTATTTTTATAGGATTTTGTTGATTGGATTCACAATGACAAAATTGATATCTTTACAACAAATTGTTGGGATATCAAAAAATGTGATCGGCTCTCTATCCTGGTAGAATTAAGTATTATATTTGCAGTGAATAATCTAATAGAGTACTTAATCTATAAAATAGAGGAAAAATTATATTTTATGCCACCAGAATATGTAATTAATTTATGGTTATTATCACAAGAATTGAGTTTAAATATCCTCCAAGATATTTCGTTGGCATTTTGCTTAGATCGTTTCGATGATCTACCACTTAATTCAATTTATGAGCTATCGAAAGAAAATTTTCTTAAATTAATTGGGAATATCAATATAACATCCACGAAATCTTATTTACTTAAAATCACAAATAAATGGATGGCCCACCATAATGTAAGTACAAGCATATTATTTACAAAAGTAAAATTTTAAAAATTAAAATGATATAATCTCCTAAATAAGCGAAATGCCATGCTTAAGTTTCTCTTTGAGCAGCAGATCGTTTCGGATAAAATATGTTTTTAGGTGCAAAAAAAAGATCGATTTCCAAAAATTTAGGGATATTTGGGTTTTTAAAAAAAGAATTTGTGATCAAAATTAAAAAATTTTAAATAACTGATGCAATATGTCGGACTAAAAATTCTGCTATTGAAGTTTTTACGTAGAATTTAAAGAATGACAAAATAACTTTTCAAAAACGTTTTTTGTTTTTAATATGGATATTTATGTGGAAAAGAAATATGTCCTCTAGGTATCATATACCTTTCTATATTTGTATTTTTGTATAAATATTTATTTACATTTCCAACAATTCTCATTCCAACAATTTTAATTCATATTAAAGATTAAGTACTTTAAAGATATTAGGACTTATACTTTTACATTTATACAATACATAATAAGTGTACAATGGCTTTGATATACACTCAGAGTGCACTAATGCAACCAAGAGAGAACATTATTATATTAATCATCGAATTATATTGTAGAATTATATGTTAACAAGTTAAACAGTAGATTTGTTTAATTATATTATTTTATTTTTAAAAATATATATTATTATATTCATAATGCAATTCGATATGGAGTATTTTTCATTTTTTGCTGACACAAGTCGATACAAATATCGTTATATATTTATTACTTAATGAACAATCAACAAAGATAAAAAAATAAACGATGTTAGATGCATATAAGGATGCATATTATGAGCTAAAGTGAATGTTGATTGCTAAGGATTCATTCTTCCTTACATATATAAATATAACCATAACGTTTCTTTTTCTGGGTATTCTTAATATAAAAACTAAATTAATTACAATAAAACATTTGCAAATTAAATTAAACAATAAAAAGAGAAAATATTTTTACAATTATTCTTTCGCGTGTCTTATAAGAAAATCCCAATCAATATACGCTGCTAACAATTTTTCAACAGAATACAATAATTCTTGTCAAAACAAAATGATTTGTATACACAGTATTATTGGATGTAATCATATTTCGTGAATCAAATGATCAGAAAGTGTGAAAACCATCTTGATTATTATTAAGAGTAACTCTCGAGAATATAACTATACATAGCACATAAGAATAAAAATTATAAAAACAAAAAATATAAAACGGTAATTATATGTATTATAAGTAATATATTAAAAATCAATTATTTAAGTTTAATAATATAATATAATTACAAATAACATAATGATAAAAAGGATATTTGTAATAACTTGCCAAATGGAAAGCACTCAACGTAACCCATTAGGCACTAAACAATCACGAACAGAAAAGATAATGTTTGTCGAACGTCTATGATATCATGGTACGCAAGACATAGTCGTGATATTGCATTCTTTCGATTTAACATTTGACGTATGCACAGAACTACTGTACATTAGGAACTAATTTTTCATAAGTGCTAAGGAGTTCGCAGTGTAGTGTGTGTGTATATATATATATAGAATCTGTGGAATAATAACAACATGAAAACATGATATATCATAAATTTTATAATTTCCAAATAGAACTAAGGATAAAATTTTAATTACCAGATTTTTAAATTTGTTTATATTAGCATCGAAAAATGAACAAATAAAGGGCTAAATTCTGATTGGCTGTAGCAATAAATATATGCAAAAACACACTGTGTCTATTTACATTATATTATATTTTTGTATGCATGTATTATAATTCTGTTCTAAGAATAATAAAATTTATTCCTAACCACTTAGAATTTTATGTAATAAAACTAATTTTTTTTTCAGGATTTTACAATTGCTTTAGATATTTTAAAGAATAAGGAAACAAAAATATTACATAGTATTATATCTTGTGAAAACAGAGATTCTGATAACACTGAAAAATTTATTCATTGTTGGGATGGTAATGATTTTTTTGAACTTACCTCATTTAAATATCCTGAAGATATTGTTAATTGTTATACTGATAAATATAAATTAGAAGGGATGCAGATTATTGGAAGAAGTATGTAGTCTTTTTTTGACTTTATTCTGTTTTATCTAAATAATACCTTATCTTATCTTATTCATTTAATATTTTATATAATTTATTTAGGATACAATTTTTATCTCTGTGGTGGAGAATTTGGAGACACAGGTATATTTAACAAAAATGTATGGCGTTATTCCTTGATAACTAAAAAAATGGTTCCTTGAGACTATGTAAATATCTTAATGCATTCTTAAATAAATGATAAGTAATACAATAAATATAGTATGTTATTTGTTAAAATAATTTCTACAAATGTTTTAGTATGCCAACTGAAAGAAGGAATATGATTGCTGCGTTTGTGAAAAACAAATTAATACTTGTGGGCGGTTTGGGACATGAAATCAAATCCAATATTGATATTTATGATATTTATACAGGTGATTTTATTATATAGTTTTACAATACGCATTTTATTAATACATTTTTTTAGATTAATCATAGAATTGCTTTTATAATTATTTATTAATGTAGCCTTAAATTTGTCTGTCATTAAACAAAATAATATTTCTTTATTAATTTTTGCTTTTATTTAAATCTTGCATAAATGTATAGTGGGTCCGAAAGTATTTTTGAATTCTATCTTGCTCTTTATCATACTAGAGTGAGCAAATTCTTTTTATGCAAATGTAATGTAATGTGATGGGCGATTGTGCAAGAGACACTTGTGTGAATCGAGAATGTCCATCTTTTTTTTTTTAATGTAGTATATTATATACAAAAAGATGTCTCAACGCATACTTGCACAGCTATTACTCTCGCACAATCGATCGCCCTTCAAAGCTAGTTCAAAGTTCCAGTATGTATATAAAATTCACTGGATTTTATTAATGTTCCTAAAGATTTTTCTTTTAATTGCGCAGGCTTGTGGACATCGGGTGCAGAGGCACCTTGCAATTTCTATTGTGGTCATTTCTATTCCGTTTTGGATGAAAAATTAATCATATGTAGAAAATTCTTGGCGACTTATAATCTTTGTAATACTAAAGCACTAAGATATAAATCTAAAAATGATTATGAATCTTACGGTAAGTAAAATGTTAGCAAAATGTTGACAGACTGACACAATTGATGAGAGCATGTCAGCAGATCGAAAAAATTTGTTTATATAAATCATTAGATTGATAGCAAAACAAAGCAAGATCTGTGTAATCAGATAGCAGATTGACAGCAGAAATCAAGCTAAATAGAATGCGATTGTGTGATTGTTTAAATTGAAATTATTGGTAGGAAAGGTAGAAATTATGGAATATATTGTTTTGTCCTATTGAAATAACAGCGAAAGGAAATCTCTCACTACATTGAGCAATCATCCCACCGCTCGCTTGCATTTGATAAGCTAAGCGGATATCCGATGCATGTTTATTTGGCAAAAATTAATATTTCGTTAATTATTATGAAAATTGAAAAATGTTACAGGATTTTTCAACTCACAAAGGACAAAAAGACACCAAGTGTCTTTTTCCGATTTTGATGAGTTTTTAATATATGTTTTATGAAAATAAGGAATACGTTAAATTTACATATACACCATATACGAATAAAACTTTATAATATCGATGTAAAACCCCTTCCATAGTCGAAAAGCAAGGAATATTTAATTATTTATCCATTTACGGTAACATAAATTCTGCTTGGTTTCTGTCGACAATCTGACAACATTGTGTACGATTTATCTATCTCGATTTTGTCAATCTACTATCAGATTATATCGGAAATTTTGTCAAATTTCTAACAATTTGCCGATATCGTTAAATATTACAGATTCTGTATATTTATTGTCCTTCTGCTATGAAAAATATTTAACTGACTTTGTTTAAAATCTGTTTAGGTTTGAAATGCAAGATATATATCTATTTTTCAAATATGAATGTATGGAAGATGGTATCACGGACGGAAAAGAGTTATTTAAACTTTAATGTCGACCTTTATACAACAATATTGTTTAAAACTGCACCCTGTTATATTGGTAAGTATTATAATTTATGTACTACGTAGATGTAAAAAAAAAACTTAAATTTTACATTAGTATATTTTGCAGATATTGTGAATAAAGATAAAATGTTTTTAAGAGTTGCCAACGATTCATGCAATAAGAAAAAATGTAGCCACATAATGAGATACAATAATCGGATCGAATTTAAATTATCATCATACAAAACATTCAATAAAGAAGATTCAATTCTATACTTCTTAAAAAAAATTAATTGCGATGCATATTTCTACAAATATAATAATTATGACAATAACTATGACGACGTTATAGTGTATCTTGATTTGTCAGAATTATGTTATAAGAATACGTTACATTTGCATAGTATTCCTATAAAAAATATAAATAAATTTCAATCATGTCTTCATAAATTCAATAGATTTTTTAATATAATTCATCCAGATCATTTACATGCGACAAATTTGAATCATATTTAACTTAAGTAAATCTTTATTAATTTAATACTTATAGAGTCAATGTATTTATGAGAGTGAAAAAGAAGAAAGAGAAATTCTCGGGAAAAAATATTTGTAATTATAATATTTATTATTCAGACATTTCAAGACAAAAATATTTGCTTCATAATTACAAGTATTTATAATTATATATTTTATATTATATATTATATATTTA